TGAAGGAACACTTCGTCCAAACTGGGATGGACCGTTTGAAGTTGTTGGCATCAGTCGTCCTGGCTCCTACAAGCTTAGAAGCTCCGAAGGCAAAACCCTTGGCCATCTATGGAACGCTGATCACTTGAAGTACTATTACAAGTAAACTCACATTGTACAAGTGTTAAGCTTTAGCCGTTCGGCATCCTATGTAACGAAGACTATTTGGCATGAATTCAATAAAGAGGTGATTTAGACAACTCGGTCCTAATCCTCTTACATTCCTAGCAATGAAACACTCGGGTTCAAAGCTTCAACATTAATGCTTCCAACAGGAAATCAAGTCTAAGCATATGTCAACAAGACTATACAAATAAACAAACAATACTGGACAGAACTAGTACATCCAAGTTATGGCTTATATATAAACAAAGGATTTGCTCAAACATAGCCAGGCATTCATCAATAATAGTGCAAATACTTGGTAATTAACAACAAACTAGTACATCCAGAGTACATGGCACATGCCACACAAACAACAAACTAGTACATCCAGAGTATAGCACATGCCACACAAACAACAAACTAGTACTCTAGAGTACATGGCACATGCCACAAAAACAACAAACTAGTACATCCAAAGTACATGGCACAAGCCACACAAACAACAAACTAGTACATCCAAAGTACATGGCATATGCCACACAAACAACAAACTAGTACATCCAGAGTACATGGCACAAGCCACACATTGTGCCACACAAACAACAAACTAGTACATCCAGAGTACATTGCACATGCTACACAAACAACAAGTACATCCAGAGTACATGGCATATGCCACACAAACAACAAACTAGTACATCCAGAGTACATGGCACAAGCCACACATTGTGCCACACAAACAACAAACTAGTACATCCAGAGTACATTGCACATGCTACACAAACAACAAACTAGTACATCCAGAGTACATGGCATATGCCACACAAACAACAAACTAGTACATCCAGAGTACATGGCACAAGCCACACATTGTGCCACACAAACAACAAACTAGTACATCCAGAGTACATTGCACATGCTACACAAACAACAAACTCGTGCATCCAGAGTACATGCAGAAAAAGAGGGCACTATGAGTCATCCTCATCTGAGGCCAAACCTTTGACAATATCACTCTACGTTTCAACCCCATCACAATCACCACCTTCCTTAGCATCTCCAGGACCATCCTCACTCTCCTGAGACTGCTCATTGATACTAGCCTCATTATCAGAGTCATCATCACTACTAGGATCAACTGCGAGGACGAAGGCTTCACCCTTTTGTCGGTACTCATCCATCTCATCACGGTACTTTCAGATAATGTTTCCATTGTCATAACGCTTAAGGAAGGCCATCCATTTCCTTTTCTTAAAATTAGCCGCTCGAATGCCGTGAGGTCTAAAAGCATCGTGAAAGCCCTGGGAACCTAAGAACTCTTGCACAACAACATTTCTCTCAGTTGGGATACTCCTCTTCAGCCCAGAAACCTCAACCAAGGCACTATCTAACTCCCTTTTAACCTTGGAAACCTCAAGGATGGTTGTCTCCAACTGTTCCTTAGTCGCTTCCAATTGTTTCTTGAGCCTCACATTCTCACCATTCCGCCTCTTCAAACTCTTAAAGTTTTCAACCTTAAGGTGGATGGCATCAGCCAAAGCTTTGCTCGTTTTTCTAGCGTCATTCACAAGTTGCTTATTCTCTTTAAACTTTTCCTTGTACCACTCGACTTTTCGTAATCTGTCATCGTACTCGGTCATGACCTACATGACAAGATAATCGTCACCACCAAGAAAAATAGGGGAGAAAGCAAAGAAATGACAAAGTAACACTTACATAAGAAGATAGCCTCATCATCCGGTCACGATCTGATTCGTTCTCATCTAGTGGCTCGCCAAGCTCATCAACAGTGGATCGACGTCCTGCCAAGCAATTATTGACATACCTAAAACTACTTGGCTGTATGGCAACCTTCAAGTCCTTCCAATGAATGCTGCCAACCTCTTCCTTTTACTTTCTCTTACGGCTACTGTGGAGCCAAAAATATTCACTAGGCGACACGTGGACTTTTGGACAAAAGAGGACAAAAATACCCTCGAGGCATACCGAGTTTCCTACACGCGAGCAGTGGAGAATCATCCATCAACCAAGTCAGGAGTACCCAAAATGGGTAACAATTCAAAACCTATTTCATTCCATATATGTTTTTACCTCATTTTTTCCTTATTCAATTAGCCATTTATTTCAAACATTCCATAACATCCTCAACCAATTAATATAATCAATTTAATCACCCATTATACCCACACCAAGGGCCGGCCATTCCCATCCAAAAAGAGCCTATCATATTCTCTACCTTTTCCACCATTTTCCCTTTTTAATTATTTGGTAACTCCTAATTAAACCTAAATTAAACCCAAAAAACCCTAGCCACCCCTATCCCTATAAATATACTCTCATTCTCACCAAAAAACCAATTCCAACACTTTGGCAAAAATTCCAAAATTCTCTAAACACTCTTTCTCTCTAAATTCTAACTTTGGCATCGGAGGTTCTTCGGCCAAAGCCCCCCCCATTCATCGTGGGCGCGTGAGGCTCTTGGCCTTAACCTAAGGTGTTAATTGTTTTGTAGGTGCAAAATTGTCCAAGATCAAGGAGGAAGAAATTTGCATCCACAGCTACAGCTAGGGCCACCTTCTTAGTCAGTAGACTCCATGGTTTGAGGAAATATGGGATTAATGGTAGGAGAGGAGGCAACAATCGTCTCTCCTCCCCTGCAACTATGGCAGCAGCACACCCGATGGCCTCATCTTCAGCCTTCTTTGAGGCATCAATCTTGAGGACCTCAACTTGGTATCAAAATTCGAAATTGTTATCAATGAGTCGAATTTAAGATTTTTCAATCACAAGTGAAAAGAAATATCACTAGATCAAATCCGTAACACCTATTTCTTTGGGGTTTTGATCACAAATAGTCCATGAAATTGACCCAACTCATCGTTGTGGTCCCTCAATTTCAAAATCAATCAATGTCGTTCCTAAATTTGACTAACGCACATCAATGTAGCCATCCAAATCCGTCAATTTTTCTGTTAAATTCGCTGACGTGATAAAAAATAAAATCTTTCTTATTGCATCTTTCTATCTCTACTTCAATTGCAAAAACAGAACACCGCCATTAATGGATTCAAATACCCACCAACCCAATTGCACCAACCAATTTATGTTGCTCAGAATTTACTCCTCGCTAGTTTCGTTGACGGACTGTGACTGGGCTTAGGCTAGATGGGTGTGGCAGATGGACGGAGGCGGCAAGGCAGATGTCGTTGGGCTTTTTTTGTTTTTATTAGTTATTTGGTTTCTAATTGTTTTTTGGGTAAATTACATTTTTACCCCTTCAGGTTTGTTATCGATTTCAATTTCTTACATCTTTAAAACATTTCAATTTCATACATTTACTTATCATTTTATTTCAATTTCATACATCCGTTAGAAAATATGTTAAGTAAACCGTTAAGTGATGACGTGGCAAATAAGGGGTCCACATTTGTGCTAACTTGACTGCCACATTTGTGTCACGTTGCTAAACACTTGATAAAAAAAACTTTACATATTAAAATAATTAATTTTAAAAAAAACAAAAAAATCTTAGAAATCCCTTTCGTCTTCCCCACCCCCAAATCAGACACACTCCCTCTTTCTCTAAACCCTAGCTCTTCCTCCACTGCCGCCCTCAGGGCCACCTCGAGCAATCCTCTACCTCCTAATATGCCGCCCTCCTATCCCCTCTACTCCTCTCCAAGCATTTCATTCTCTGCGGGATCTCCACCCTCCACTTCCTCGTCGTCCCCACCATCGACGAGGTCTTTGCTATGTTGCTTCTCGTCCCTATTCCCCTGGAGTTCCTCAAGAAGATGGAACAAAATGGTTCTGGCCTCGTTAGAACGGCAAAGATTTGGCCAGAAGCTATGTGCGTGGAAACGGAGAAGTGCGTTGGTGGGATAGAATGAGATGTGCAGTGGAAAGATAGAGGAAGGGATAAAACCTGGCAGGTTTTGATTTGCAAGGATAGAGGGAGATGTTTGCAACATTTTGATTTGTTTCTTTTCAGAAAATAAGAAGATGGAGGGATAGAAATTGCCAGCGGCCGAACAGAGAGGTGTTCTACACCAACGAGGACGGGGACTCGGAAATACAGGACGATAAGGGTAGTTTTGAAGCTAGGGATTAGAGAGAGAGAGAGAGGGGGGGGAATGTGTCTGATTTAGGGGTAGGCTTGGGTGGGGAGAAAGGGGTGGGGAGAAAAAGGTGGGGAAGACGAAGGGGATTTCTTGGTTTTTATTTATTTTTTTAATTAATTATTTTAATATTTTAAATTTTTTATTAAGTGTTTAGCCACATAGCACAAAGGTGATAACCACATCAACACAAATATAGACCATTTATTTGCCACGTCATCATTTAACGGTTTATTTAACAGATTTTCTAATAGATGAATGAAACTGAAATAAAATGAAAAGTAAATGTATGAAATTAAAATGTTTTTAAAATGTTGTAAGAAATTGAAATGTTTTTAAAATGTTGTAAGAAATTGAAATCAACCCTAAACTTGAGGGGGTAAAAATGTATTTTACCCTTGTTTTTTAAACCATTAAAAAGTGAGTTCTTTTAGGTATCATCCACGTGGCATCATTATATTGGTTGTGTGACTTTTCTATGTGCCATGTCAGCAAACTACCGGACAATTTGACAGATTCGTACCTGGTAATGTGCGATAGTCAAATTTAGAGACGACATTGATTGATTTTCAAATTGAGAAACCAAAGTGATGAGATAAGTCAATTTCAGAGACCGTTTGTGATAAAAATTCATTTCTTCATGTGCAAGAAACAATGAAAAAGTAAAGAGAATCGTCCTCCCTTCCTGATCACTCATCCCTACAGGTATAACGATGGATTGTCAGGAAGGTTTGTAACTATGGCCTGAAATTTCAAATCAGTAAATAACTTCCATTAACACAATCGGTACACAGAAAACTGCCCCAAAAAGCAAGATCACGCAATCGGTAAACTATACCTTTCATTTTGCACAAGTGCGCGATTCTTATTTCAAATGCAAAAGAACCCGTAACTGAACGGAATTTTGTCAAAAAAATGCCTCTGGGAGTTTAATGCATATTCCACCAAAGCAGAAACAATAACAGCTCAAGTCATGAGTCTATGACAAAACATTTCACTACTCCGAACCTGATTTGACAATGAAATTCTGGCGACTAATGGGGTTCATCACGACCGGAGGTCCTGCAGTACGTGGCCAAGCCTGTAACTTCTTGTCAGTTTCTTCCCCCCATTTTTTGTTTGAAATGGTACCAGGAGTACTACCTGGTTATAATTTAATAGTGTTAAATTGCACAGAAATTTATTACGTTAAACGACTTCATCAAGCAGTTTTGTCATCAAAAGTACCTCCGAATATCTTTTTGTCAGATATAGTAGTGTCAAAAACATACGCAAGCCCAAAGGTTCCCAAAACAGATCCTACAATGTACTTTGCTGCCATTTTTCAACTGCAGAAACATAAAGTCAAACAATAAGCAAAATGGACAAATGGGCAACGAGAAGAGCCAGTTATCTCATTGTGCGTCGTTTCGGAATGAGTTAACTCAATGAAGATAGAAAGTAGAAAACAGATGCGTTCATTATCCTTTAACGTACACAAGCACAAGGTCAGAAGGAGTAGCATCACTTACAATTTTTACAATTTTTAAGAAGTTAATGAATCTACGAATACTGGTCAAACCAAGCTTCTGAGAATATTACCATAAATGAAGAAAAATACTGATAACTAAAATATGACAAATTGGAGTTAAGATAACATTTCTAACAAGTCCTAGTTTGAGCCTATGCACATAAACTTCAAAGGGTTCAAATCAGCAAAAGCATTCTTTCACAAATAAACCTATGGTTCAATTTTTCAGGGATGAATTAATGTGTGAATCTCATTTAAGACACCCTAGAATATAGTTGTCTTTCAATCAGATAATGGAGTAAGGCTGGAAACATTAAAACCTAGTTGAAACATTAAAACCATAAGATAATGGTGATTGACAAGGTAACAATCCAAGAGACCATTAGCTCTACCAACATATCTTCAGCTGAGAGAGTAACCCCCAAATTCACAGCCAAAAAATACACAAATTCTTAGCCAAAACCCATGAAGACAAGTTGTTCAACCCCAAAGCGAAACCCAAACAAAAAAATTATCAAAATAAGAGGCCCATCGTTTGAAAAGATATTTACATTCAGTCGTTGCTGCTTGGGGTGAAGTATAGTTGAATCTTTGGGTTTGTTTTGGGAGGTAGGGATTATAGAATTAAGAAGATGTAATGATGGTGAACAGCCGAGGAAGGGGTCACTGCTGGGGCTGGGGTAAAGAAAAGCTGCGAACTTCTTTTTTATTTTGTGGTATAGGGCTAGGGAAGCTTTTTCCTCACCTTCCTGGAAGTCACGTTGACCGCATTCATGCCTAGTTGAGCTTGTCTAGAAAGACACACACACACACACAGAGGTGGGTGTGCTTATGGCAGCAGAGGGCAGGGACGAACCAATAAATTCTTACCCAACTCCATGAAGTTCCAAGTTTTTCTGCCCAAGTTCAAAACCCACACCCAAAATAATCCACATAAGAGACTCAATTGCCCAAAAAGAGACTTGTATTATGTCATTGTTGCTTTGGGTGAAGATAGAGTTGATGCTTTGTTTTGTTTTGGGAGGTAGGGAATTATAGAATTATAGAATTAAGAAGGATGTAATGATAGGTTGAGGATCTGAGACTAGGTCGGGGAGGTCTGTTTTAGATGAATGGCTGGGGAGGGGATGGTGGGAAAGGGGTCACGGCTGGGGTGGAGGAAAAGTGGTCATGGCTAGGGCTGGGGATGGAGTAAAGAAGAGATGAAGATTTTTCTTTCTTTTCATTTTTTTTTTTTTTTTTTTAGTAAATACATATTAGTAATCCGGTGGAAATGTGGGATTTAACACTAGTTGCAGGGAGAACTAGAGCAATTAATCCTAAAGCTTATTACTCTATAGTCCCCATCATCCCCACCGCAACAACAAGGTTGACACCGAACAGAACAAATTGACAACCAAAGAGAACTACAAGGTACAGTTGAAAACTATATTGATAAAGGAGCATGTTTGTGCGGTGCATATAGACCATGCATATAAGAGATGACTAAAAACCTTGAATCAAATATATAGCAACTCAGTTTCCGTATTGTCCAACATAAACACGGGAGCATTGTTCAAAGTAAAAAATAATACGGTGACTCGGCAAGGCTAGAAAGAACCTAAACCATCACAGCGAAACAAAATACAGCAACTACCATATGAAAGAGCAAAAAGATGGCGGAGATTCGTTTCCAATGTTAAATGTAAGTTCTTTCAATGTATAAAGTTTCTAGATTTCTCAATCAATAAATGAAAATCTGCTAAAACATCATCCTGGAATCCAATTTATCAAGTCTATGATCCCACATTTTCTCAGAAACCAAACATAATATACAAATATAAAATCAATAAAAGTAATTCATCTGGTAAATTGTAAATATACGAATCTGAGAAAATCCCAATCATAATAAACGAAACCCTAGATCTATCAGCAGATATGTAATTCAGAGCGCGACGTTGCGGATATCAAAACTGATGAAACGCAGAACTCACAGATGAATTGCAATGGGGAGAGATTAGACGACGGCGTTGAGAGCAGAGCGATGCAAGTGGTGGGTGGGACTCAGGTAACGGAGGCACAAATTGTGCCGCATCTGAATTTATAAGAGTGGTTCTCTCCTGCGCGTATGGTGGGTTGTGCGCGTGAGATGCGCATGACCCGGTTAAACTTAATCTCGACCTCTCATTTTTTTTAACTTGAAACCAGCGGCTGTGATGCGTTTTTAGAAGAAACAGAGGAAATGCTTCGTCTTCCATTTAGGAGTAGGTTCGGTTTCATTGGGTTTGGATTTTTGTCAAAATTAAAATTGAATTGAAACTTCGGTTCGGTTCAATTTCTTTTCGTTTGTTTTTTTTAGGTTTGGTTTTGTTCGGTTCGATTTCGGTACAGTTTCAGTTTTTTTTTTTAATTTTATTTTATAAAACTTATTCTTTTTTTAATATGAAATTTAGAAAAGAGGTTTGCATTTATCAACTAATAATAAGAAAAAGTGGAAAGTGGAAAGGTAGTTTTGCATATACAAGATCATATAAATCAATCATATTCTATCATTAACCTCAATTGCAATGAAAAATGATCACTATTTTCCATTCAAAAAGCAAACAAACAGAGAAACCATTCCAAAGCCTTCTGAAACTTTTATCTATTACCAATGTAATATTTTCCCTAATTGAAACAAGTATGCTCCTTGAAAAAGCCTTAGGCTTAGTTTCAAATTTGGCAACAAGTTTCACAAAAGAAACATCATGGGCATACATTTATAAAGTGTAAAGGGATTCGGTTCGGTTTGGTTTTCGAACCTCCAAAATCAAAATCAAACCAATAAGGTTCGGTTCGGTTCAATTTTTTATTGGTTTTCTGTTTTTCAGTTCGAAATTTGGTCCCTTTTTTTTTTTTTTTCAGTTTTCAGTTTTTTAACACCACCCTACTTCCATCACCTTAAGATAGAAAAAAAAAATTCATACATTTTGATGTAAATACTAGAACTCAGCAAACCCGACAAAGCATGGAGGATCTACATTTTACGTTCCACACTACTGGAGTCCTGGCCACCCAACTTGACCACCAAACCATACATGTTAGTTGAACATTAATTATTTAATCTTCATTCTTCTAGAATTTAATTGTATGCACGTTTTTTTGTTGGTGTTGTGTTTACTAAATACACAGGTTATATACATGAATAAATTGGTAAATGTGAAAAATATTTAAATGACCTTATGATTTTAAGTAGACATATTTTTCTACCAAAAGACTCAACTTCTAATTTTCATTCAACTAATAAATTTAATATAATAATAATATTATTAAATTATCCAACACTATATGCGGAGCAATTAAGCATAAATTGATACCGACTCCTTAGAACTTAGATTCCAACTCACCAACCCTCTTCAATTAGAACAATGGGCCGTACAGTTAACATGATTAGAAAGGGGGAAGAATTTCCTACAGTTAATACGGGTAAAGTAGATGAAAATCCCTAAGCTGAATCCATGTACTGAATCTCAAAACTTTTCTATGTCTTGGAAGGTTGAGGGTAATGACACGGGAAGGCTGCTTTGCCATTCTGCCTCGCCAAAAATGAGGAGTTTCCGATGTTGAAATGGCGTTCGCTTCGGAGCATTAGGTGTTGTGTTGATGTATGCGTCTGGTTTTTTACTTTCATCAGTTAAACCCTCCCTTTGCTTGCGCCCGTCTTCTTTGGTACGCTGATTTTCCTTCAAGTGACAAATCAGTACCCGCTTTTCCATTTCGTTATGTGGATTCCGGGGAATAAGTGGCGAACCGTTGGACTTCATTAGTCTTGTGCTTTCTTCCTTCCTCAACCTATCAAGCTCTCCTTGGAGCGTTGACACTTGCACTTGTAACTCCCTTCCTTTGCTTTCAGATGAAATGGCTTTCTGTCTCCATTCTTGCACCTGCAGAAGAAATACGACTTTCTTTAGAGCGCATTCGAGAAGAAATTGAAAAGGAATCATCTACACTAAGTTCCAGGCCTTCTAACTTCTAAGCATCATAAGAAACCTGTCAATCCTGTTGCAAAATCATGCAGAAAATCAAGGATATTCCAGCTATTCCGAGCATATTGCTTTTCGATGGATATTAGATTCTCCTAAAACATCGAAGAGAGCAATGTAGCCCAGCCAAAAAGAGCTGAGGATAGCCCTCTTCCCAGTAGCAGCTTGGTCTAGATAAATTTGTAAACTATAACTAAGCATAGCATAGTAAAGGACGAAATATCTTACAGCTGAGCGTAAGGATTGAATCTGGTAATCAGAATCTAGAGCTCGATCTTCCCAAAAGTCCCTAGAAGCCTGCAATTCTTCCATCTCCTCCCTCACCTGCCCCAGCATCTCCTGCATCTGAGACCATTGCTCTGTCTCAACTCGGACTTGCTCTACAATTCTTCGAACTATTGCCTTGCAACGTCCTGAGCATACGTCCTCTTCACGAGACTCTTTCTCCTGCAGAGCAAATTGTCCAAACCTAAAATTCCTTCTAGTAACAATGTTTTCTTTATTCCATAAATAAGTCAACCTTTTGCAAGAATATACCTTGTAAATTTGTTGTATCAAGGAAGAAGACAGATTTGCAGCTTCAATTCTCTGGAAAGAAGAGGCAGAACTGGCAACCGAACTATTGGCTGTAGACAGCATTGAACCATACTCTTCCTTGATCCTCTCTAATAACATCCCATTCGACAATCCCTCCATTTTCCTTCTCAGAATCTCCGCCTGCGTAGTATTTTTTATAGAACCGATAAGGCAACCATGCAAATCATGAAGTAAAACAATGCACGCCTGGTTACCGAGAGTCTCCCCGCTATATCAATTTTAAAGTCAAAAGTAACATGATCCAGTTGAGACGTGACACACACACATCATAACAATATAAATCGTAAGAGTCAAAATCATCTGTGTCTTCAAATTGAAGTATCAAAGGAAGATCGATGACACTAGTTTGCACGAAAGGAAGATAATGCTCACATTGCTTTTCCCACCCGAAACCAAGTTCTCATTTACTCGAGAGCTTGATTTGATCGACAAGCTTGCTTCTGCCATCCCTTGGATCTCCTTCACACGTATCTCATCCGATGTCGTCCTAAACTTCTGAAGCCTTGTTTGGAGATGATAGGCTTGTTTATCAAAATTACTAGAGTTCTTCCCAACCTCCGAATCCTTAACGCGTAAATTTCTTTGCAACCTCTGTAGTTTCTCTGCCAAGTGTTGAATCTCTTCCTCCAAAACCTTTCCGTTGCAAATCTTCTTTTGCCCCTGAAAACCAGTCACAACATCAAAATTTGTCTCACACAAAGCCATTGTCCATTATTCTGAAGAAAAACTTGCTGGAATATCATAAGAATACAACTAAGAATGCAGAAGAAGCACTAGCACGGCTTAAGATTCGAATTTTTCCTTGATTTTTAGTTCAATATAATTTCTTCTTAAGCAAATGGAAAAATTTACCGAGCAATCCAAGAAACTGAAACAGAAACAAAGTTCAGATTTGAGCAGTAAGACCATCTCCAACTCAAGGGTGGGAAATCCAAAAATTTAGCCCCGTATTTTCAACTATTCATCTACGTATGAGGTCAGTTTAGTTTTTTCCTCCAAGGGTAAGGGACCTATAATTCCCACCCCAACTTTATAATTTATTAAACTTTTTTATTTTTTTTTTGCTAACAATTTTGGAATTAGTTTTTATATAATCTATCTTGTCTTATTTTTACAAACATTTTCATTTTTTATGTACATAAATTCAGATTCCAACAAACAAAATGCTTTTGAGTTCTGAAAATTTAATCTTTTAAGATCTCTTCTTTTATTTTTCTGATTTCCTATGTTCAGCTATCGTGTCTGATTTCCTACATATTTGGTTTATTCAGTTCTATTTTATAAGCTGAAGGAGTTGTACACAAACACACACCTCATTCTTAAATCTCATACTTTTGCTTAAACACTTTAATTTTTCAATGCGTTCAAGTCATGACAAGCGAATTCAGATACTAGAAGAATTCAATATAGAAGAATTGGATTAATTAATAATATTATTTTGATCGTTGGATTTCAAATGTTAAGCCGCTACATTATTTTATTACCGTCAAAATTGATTAAATTAGATTTAAGCCATTGAAATATAAAAGCTACGGTCGAAAAAATTTCAAACTGACAGTTGGGTTTTTTTTTCTTTTTAACCAAAGGTAGAAATATTATAAACGAATAGAAAGTTTTACTGAGCCAGAATGTTAAACAGTTGGGTTGAAACGGTAAAGAAATCTAGGCAGCACAGCAGAGTTACTGTTGGAAAGTCTGAGCACGTCTCACCGGATCACATGGCCTAGCGCATCTGAGCCGTAAAAAATGCGCTTGTTGTGACCCTGTCAGCAGGGAATCCCTCGGTCCACTTGCGCTTGACGAGCGGCTCCGCCCTTTCCATCCCTTTCATGTGGTGCTGCTGCTTGCTGGGGCCTTCCAATCGCTTCCTTATCCGTCCGGGGGCCATTGGAGACTCAAATACCCACTCCAAACTCAAAATTCTTATGTTTTTTTATTCCACCCCCGTCCCCGTGGGAGACGGTCTAAAGGCATATTTTTCAAAAAAAAAAAAAAGAATCTGCAATATTCAAACCAGATAAATACTCTCTCTCTCTCTCTCTCTCTCTCTCTCTCTCTCTCCCCTGATAAAACATGAGAAACGATAGAATAGTTCTGCTTTCAAAACCAAATATAATCTATCATTCAAAACTTGAGCAAGCACGGCAATTTCAATTCCAGGTTTTTATAATTTCCCCATGTGTTTCAAAACTTCAATTTTCTTCGTAATCTAACTATCACCACGAAACGAACTTGAAAAATCCTCCACTTATTCCTATCAAATTTCTCAGCAACCAAACAGAAAAACCCTGTTGGGGTTTTCCTTCTCCTTCTAGCATTTTCTCATCAACCAATCAGGCAATTCAAAACCTACGTAAACAAATACAAAACGAGAGAGAGCGAGAGAGAGGACTTACAGAAACAAGAGTGTGCACAGCTGATTTAAGAGTCCTCTCCATCTTAACCTTGGTCCTCTCCATTTTCTTTTCAGCAATATCCCTCTCCATCCTTAACAAATTACACTCCGCCCTCAGCATCTCAGCCTGAAACCTCCACCTCTCCTCCTCCACCACTCCCCCACCCTCCTCCTCCTCCTCCTCCTCCTCTCTAACCCTCTCTCTCTTCCTCTCTCTCTCCTCCCCATCCCCACACTCTAGAAGCACAACCGGCGAACCGGTTCTCGAAAAAGCTCTCTCTTGATCAAACAGAGCCTCCAGCTTTCCCTTGTGGTCCTTCCTGGCCTCCCCTGAATTGTGTTTTCCGCCATGAACGTTCTTGGTAGCTCTCCGGCGAGGTCTCCGAGGGAGGTGGAGGATTCTTGGTGTTGGTTGGGGTGGTGGGTACTGCCATTTAAATCTTCTTGTTGCGGTGACTGCAGTTGCAGAGGAGGATGACATTTGCAGTCGAGACGATTAAAAAAGACACGAACTTTGTGTTCCTTTTTGGGTTTGAAAATGAAAGGAAGAAAGAAGCTAGACGTTAGGCTTCATCTTGTTTGTTTGTATAGTGTAAGCTGTAGCTTAACATCTGAGTTGAGAGAGAGAGAGAGAGAGAGAGAGAGCGTGCAACCTCGTTCAGTGCAAGAAACAGGGATTTCAAATGAAAGCTGCGCTTGATGTTAATTTTGTGTGGCCAAATTTATTGGTATCTAGTTTGGTCCCTTTGTCTTTTATTTTTTGGTTTTATTGGAATTTGAATAGTATTTCAGGTTTTTTTGGTTGAGTAGAACAATATATTTTACACTAAGAGAAGAGGAGAGTTCAAAGAGGAGAGGAGAGTTCGGTTAAGCCACACAATAGGCAACCTAATTTGATATCGAATTCGTCATTCACGAAATTTGAACCTAAGACCTTGATGAGATTTTTACCGTCTACACAAATAAGGATAATAACACTTAAAAATACTTGCAAGAATATAAGGATGTTGTAGTATAAATGCTCATGTAAGGTCGTCCTCCTCAATAACTATTTTACTAATTTATGTAGAAACAATTCCTAATTAACTATTTACAATAACAACAACAACAACAAAGATTTTTTCCCACTAAGTGGAAATAATATCACAGGGATTCGAACTAAAAATTAAGAAAGGTGATTTTGAATTTAGATAATATTAAAAACGAATTTTAATTAAAATCAAATATGATAAAATATAAAATCTACTCATCAGACCTCTCACTTACAAGTGAAGAGGAATACCACCAGATCGTAATACTGAGTGATGTATTTCATGGTCTTAGTTTAATAGTAATTTTTGGCTTTAGGCATATTTTAAAGTTTGTTGTGAACCCAAAGAGAAAAAAGAGGGAAAATGATCATCGCCGCATCCTTTTCTTAGGGATCCAGTGATCCTGACCGTTTATTGTACATCGTGCGGTCATTTTTCGTTAGATAGTATTTATATTTAATTTTAAAATTTAAATTTTAAAATAATTTCTGACCATATGATATACGATGAACGATCACATGATCCTTAGAATCCCTACCAAAAAAGAGATCTCAACGTTTGTTCCTTATGTATGACCATTTGATCTTGGTAATACCTAGGCATTCACTGATAAGTATTCCATGTATTTGCTTTTTGATTTAATTCAATAAAAAAAAATACTACATGTTTTTTATTTTAAAGTTCAAGAAAAATTAAATAACATGTCTATTATTTTTTTAAATAATAAAATAAAGTGTTAAAATATTATCAGAAAAAATAAGAAATTGACTCAATATTAAATTTTGAAAAGGATGTTCAGGTCTAGATTTATTATTATGTCGGTTTGTTTGCGTGCTTTCCTTTAGTCTCGTTTTCAACGAATAAAAAGAAAAGAAAAGGGTGTCTTCAGCAAATTATAGAGTGCTAGTAAAACTGCATTTTAAGTGATCTTTGAAATTGGACGTTTCCACTAAAACATCTTTTAAAGTTTTGAATCACTAAATAAAATCCAAATTGCAGGGTGTTAGTAAGATTGTCTTTTAAGTTGGTTGTCATATTCCAACTGATTTTTAGTTTTGAATCCTCTTTGGTGCTATTCTCTTATTGCAAAGTCAACAGATTTTATCCCTAAAATATTTGTTCATTTGAAGTGTTTTTGTATTTTAGTGTAATGTCTGAACTGATTCATATGTTTATTAACATTGCACTTGAATTGTAAGTGATGAACCGTTCATGTCATATAACCTATTGCATTTTAAGTTCAAACATGTCCCATCTTTCAGTTTAGATTGAATATATCATATTTTTATTGAGCATTAAAAAATCAATTTGAATTGTACGTAAAACGGCCTTCTAGAGAGAGAGAGACGTTGCAGTTGGTAACTTAAGGTAGGTTTAGGAACCCCTTGCCTACAAATATACAAATAGTAGGATTAGACGTGCAAAACATGCTTAAAATTTGAAAATATTGTAAATAGTTGCTGTGACAAATCTGGCCCCATTCTCCTCGGTATAAATGCGTGTAAACGAAAAATGGAATGATTAAGTGATAAGTAAGTAGATTAGGAACTAAGGTAAATTATTAGTTATTTATGAATAAAAATTTCATATTTTATATTTCTAGATTCCAATAGAGACTCAAGTAGTTAGCATTGGTTGATCGAACGAGAGACTTCCATGCTTTAGAACGGGGATTTTAAACCCATGAGATACAGTAATTTTATTTTGATAATCAAGAACAAGTTTTGAGAAAAAGATTTCATTCGCATTTCCCAAGTATCAAAAGTACGTTCCAAGCATTGTTCATCGCTTAATCTACTATTTTAGTTTTTATTCAAATGTTCATAGTCGAAAACTCAGTTCTTATTGTTTCTCGTTTCTTTTTTTGGATCAATCATTGACTGTCATTTAGAACTTTTAACTTAGTACTTCTTTCAATAAACGACGACTAAATGTCAAGTTCAAATCTTCTGCACCCAAATTCCTCTGTGGCATATCTCTTAAAGTTTGACACATGTCCTCAAACATAACAGAGCGATGAATTTGAGGGATTAGGAACTGAGATTTCATTTTCGTTTCTCTTTCCAATTTCAAGTTAGTTTCACAGGGACGCAAAATTCTTGAATGTTAGGCAGCGGGAGGAAGAGAAAGAAAGGAAGAGAGAGAGAGAGCTTCTCAAGCAATCCAACCGCCGCCAACTGTTCATGCCCCAAATTCTTCCGTCAATCTGCGACCTTCTCAATGACTCTATATCGGCTCTGCACCTCAGCCCGATGAACCCGTTCCTATCCAAATTGAATGATATCCACTTCTTCGACGACTTGGATCATGTAAAGCCCCTTCCACTTTAAGCCTCATTTCCTCAGAGGTCACATCATCTGTTGGATATATGTTAACTATCCGTAATAAAATAAATATGCTAATAATAAATACGAATGAATATATTCCAGAGACTTAACAAGATGAAATATTAATTAAGCAGAGTAATAAAAGATCAAGGCTTGCGTACCGCAATGTCCTTGAAACAGAAATTTCGCCCATACTCAGTGCTTGTAGTTCTAAGGACGTCTGCTTCATTAGGATTCAACGATTTAAGTCAAAAATTCCAGCACCGGAAAATTGACTTCTGGCGAATATTAATGTGGTTCTCTCAGAAATGATGTTTATGATTGCAGGAGAAGATTTATGATTTTTTCTGTTTTCTAAATGCCATGCAGATGGATGTATATATACTGTGATTATACCTGTTCACAACAGGTATAAGGAAGGGATGCATCTGTTGGGAGACATTTGCTGAAAAGGGTGTTTTTGTTTATGGGTTCTCACACTTCAGACTTCATTTGAAAAGATGAGTCTGTTGGTGAAAATAATTAATTAATTTAAATTCGAAATTAAAAATAATTAATTAATTCAGAAAATAATTAATTATATATTAATTATAATTAATTATATATTAATTACCAATTAATTAGTACACCCCAAAGCCCAACCCCAAGGATGAGCCCAATTTTAGTCTCCAGGCCTATTACTCAAATCACTTTCTATAAAGGACAAAGCCTTATAAAGTGATAAAATCTTTTGAGAATGGCCAATTTGGGACAAAGAAATTTCTACTCAAACTACTCAAATTTCCAACATCATCTGCAACAACATCCCATGCTATGTTGGTGGTGGCATTGAGTGTAAGAGTGTGAGTGGCAGGAAGGGTTGGGCTTCCAGGTTTCACGTTATATTTTTAGTTTTTATTATTGTTATTTTTTAATAGAGCTAACATCGTTTAGACATAGAGTTAGGGTTGGACAAGGCAAATTCTGAGATTGAATTTAGACCCTTTGTGGTGAAGTCTGCTAAGATTTATGCCCAAAATGAAATTTTTGTCATTTGTCTGTTAAAAGCAAATACGACCCTTTCTTTCTCTCTTTTCCCTCTTCCTTTCTTTCTTTTATCTCAACAACCTGCCTAACCAGAACCTGAACAAACACAACAATTTCATCTTCTTGATCAATCGATTTGATTCCCCCATCTCAAATGAAAATTGTGGAAGCTACTCCTTCCACTCTCTCTGCCAAAAACCCATAGCCATTTCCTCTGTATAAGAATTGTGCTTGATAGTTTGAGCGTATTGTATTAATGTTTATATAGAGATTACAAGTAGAGTTTAAGTGAAGAACAAACTCTTCAAAAACAAATCAAAGATAATTTATAGATAATACAATTAACAAATAATCTATTTGAATTCAAAAGCATTCAACAACCAAAGGATTAGACTGTTGAGAAGTTATAGCTACGCATTCACGTTGACTGATTCCATTGTGATCTTTAGTGAGTTTTGTGGCAGGAAGCTTTGATTTCAAACTTGGTTTATCACACCTCTGCAAGCTAAGTGGTCGCCGACGAATGGGAAGCTTGGATAGAAGATAGTTAAACCAATAAGTGGACAGGCCTTTTGTTAAAAAATCTGCAACTTGATCTTGGGTAGCTACATATCCCACTTGAATTTCACGTCGAGTTACCTTCTCTCGAATATAATGGTAGTCCACTTCAACATGTTGTGTCCGGGCATGGAAAACTGGGTTGGAAGCCATGGAGATTGCAGAAATATTGTCACACCATACTTTTGGAGGAGAAAGCTGGATATGAAGATCATTGAATAACTTTCGAAACCATGAAATTGTGGCGGCAGTAATGGCAAGTTGGCAATACTCAAACTCTGTGCTTGAACGAGAAACACCTTTTTGTTTCTTGGAACTCCAGGACACAAGATTAGAACCAAGAAAAATGCAATATCCTCCTGTTGATATGCGATCATTAGGGTCTTCAGCATAATCAGAATTAGCAAAGGCAGTAAGAGTGAGAGGTCCGGGTTTATACACAAGACCATGATTAGGTGTGGATTTTAAATAATGAAGAATTCTCTTAACAGCAATCCAATGTGTAGTGGTTTGTTTGTGCATGAATTGGCAAACCTAGTTAGCAGAGAATGCAATATCTAGACGTGTGAATATGAGATATTGAAGAGCACCTACCACGCTTCTGAATTCATGATGTCTAACAATGGTACGCCATCGTAAAGGCTAAGTAGTTTGCCACTGATTCCAGGTGTGGAAATTGGTTTGCAATCAACCATAGTTGTTCGTTTCAGTAAGTCCATGATGTACTTGGACT